CATTTCGATAGGCTAAATTAATAAACCGTGCTGGCATTAGTTATACATGAAACTAATAGATCAGTTGCGTTAGTTTCTGTTAGAACTATCCACATAGTGCATAGAATGCTATAGTCATAACGACTACTTAATTTTCTTTTTTAACTAATTTTTTCTATTTTGATAATACGTTTGATTTTCTTTTAACTAGGATCTACAGCAGAAGTGGTCACAATATTGTAAAGTGAAACAAACATTTGAGAGCCTTTGAGCCGTCGAGGCCACGTTTAACAACAATGACAGCACAGTGACTGAATGATTTGAGCCGCAGGGCTCTGTCAGATATCATAAGGGTTGAATTGAGCCACTGGGCCACGGTTAACGGCTCTGTCAGATAGCACAATGGCTGAAAGATTTGTCAGCTGACAATCAGGAAGTCACGGCGGATTTGCGTGAACCATTCAATCGACCTATTGAAATCAAAATGTCAGACAAAACATCGACCTACTCGTTCGATCTCTTCATAGCGTCTTTACAGATATATATATATATATATATATATATATATATATATATATATATATATATATATATATATATATATATATATATATATATATATATATATATATATATATATATCCTATAGGCCCACATAATATTTACGCAATACAAGTATACTCATAAATATGTACATGTAGACTTGAAGTATGAGGTAAGTAGTTAAGGGAAGGCAGTTCCTGATTTATACCCAGACTAAAAATAGTACGGTATTGTAGGGCTATGAGGCAAAAAATATTTAGCATTTTGATTAACATACTGGCAGTTTATGTTAGTGGTAGTTGGTTTAACTACTGTAAAAATAGTTTGTGTAACTACCGTGATATTCGTTGATGTAACTACCATTTGCAGGTAGTTAATTTAACTACCGTGTGTGATTGTAGGCTCAGCTTATCTAACAAGATGTAGGGATTATTAGCCTTGTGAGCCGTATGGTTGCTAGCAGTGCTACCGATAAGAACAGACCTTACGATGAATATTTGTGGGGTTTTCGCAAGAAAAGGTGCGATATAGCAACATAGCAACAGGTAGCTGTAATTGTAATTCTAACTAATTATATATAATTTACAATAATTCACATGTCATGAGCATCCTATCCACCATACCTGCAGCACCCAATCCACCCTACCTGTAGCACCCAATCCACCCTACCTGTAGCACCCAATCCACCTTACCTGTAGCACCCAATCCACCCTACCTGTAGCACCCAATCCACCCTACCTGTACACCCAATCCACCCTACCTGTAGCACCCAATCCACCCTACCTGTAGCACCCAGTCCACCGCATTTGTAGCACCCAATCCACCCTACCTGTAGCACCCAATCCACCCTACCTGTAGCACACAATCCATCCTACCTGTACACCCAATCCACCCTAACTGTAGCCCCCAATCCACCCTACCTGTAGCACCCAGTCCACCGCATTTGTAGCGCCCAATCCACCCTACCTGTAGCACCCAATCCACCCTACCTGTAGCACCCAATCCACCCTACCTGTAGCACCCAATCCACCCTACCTGTAGCACCCAATCCACCCTACCTGTAGCACCCAATCCACCCTACCTGTAGCACCAATCCACCCCACCTGTAGCACCCAATCCACCCTACCTGTAGCACCCAATCCACCCTACCTGTAGCACCCAATCCGCCCTACCTGTAGCACCTAATCCACCCTACCTGTAACACCAAATCCGCCATACCTGTAGCACCCAATCCACCCTACCTGTAGCACCCAATCCACCCTACCTGTAGCACCCAGTCCACCGCATTTGTAGCACCCAATCCACCCTACCTGTAGCACCCAATCCACCCTACCTGTAGCACCCAATCCACCCTACCTGTAGCACCCAGTCCACCGCATTTGTAGCACCCAATCCACCCTACCTGTAGCACCCAATCCGCCCTACCTGTAGCACCCAATCCACCCTACCTGTAGCACCCAATCCACCCTACCTGTAGCACCCAATCCGCCCTACCTGTAGCACCTAATCCACCCTACCTGTAACACCAAATCCGCCATACCTGTAGCACCCAATCCACCCTACCTGTAGCACCCAATCCACCCTACCTGTAGCACCCAATCCGCCCTACCTGTAGCACCTAATCCACCCTACCTGTAGCACCTAATCCACCCTAACTACGCCTCCCATATGCCTACCACTTGTAACCGTAATAGAAACATTGTTTTTATCTTGACAACATACCAACAACCCTGACACCGAGCAAACTGACAAACACATCGTGCCTAATCAGGTAACAACACAATCTCTGGTACTACTTTACCGAGGTAACTTTATCTTTCCAGGAAGTCTGTCGCACTGTCTGGAATAGTGCCTAAACTCAAGTGTCCCTTGCCTACAATCAGGTATCTAGTGCCTAAATGCAGGTGTTTAGTGCCTACAATTAGGTGTCTAAATTGCTGGAATAGTTCAGGTGCCCCTTGCCTACAATCAGGTGCCTAAATGAATGGAATAGTGGCTAATTTCTGGTGTTTAGTGCCTAAATTCAGGTGTTTAAATGACTGGAATAGTGGCTAATTTCTGGTGTTTAGTGCCTAAATTCAGGTGTTTAAATTACTGGAATAGGGGCTAATTTCTGGTGTTTAGTGCCTAAATTCAGGTGTTTAAATTACTGGAATAGTGCCTAAATTCAGGTGTTTAGTGCCTACATTCATGTATCTAAATTGATGGAATAGTGCCTAAATCCAGGTGTTTTGTGCCTACAATTAGGTGTCTAAATTACTGGAATAGTGCCTAACAATGCCTACAATCAGGTATCTGAATTGCTGGAATAGTGCCTAACAATGCCTATATTCAGGTGTCTCTATTCTGGAGCGGTTAAACTAGAATAATTATCTAGAAACAAACAAAACGCTAGACCAATATGTTGCATATGGTGAAAAAATACCAGACAACATTAGAATGTTGGTATTTTCCTGATAAGCAGGAAATTGTGTAGTGACTGCTCTACTCAGTAGTTTGGTTTAGAGATCACATGTGGGGTGCAGGTTAGGGCTGTGGTGAGGTATTGATAGGGACAAGGCTGATTCTGTATTGATAGGGACAAGGCTGATTCTGTATTGAATAACAACAGAACTTCAACTGTGTGGTCGAGGAATAATGTACTAAAGAAACCAACTCCAGAATATAGTGATAAGTTTCCTTGTGGGGTGCGGGGGTGCCACAATACTGACGTAGAGACGCTGTACGTGTGAGGGGTTGTGTTGTGAGGTGGGAATATGTTGGGGGAGGGGGGGTATGTTAGGGAACGAGGGTGTCTCAAAACCGCTAACAGACGCCGTATGGGCTTTCGTTCTTTAACCTTTGAACAGCTAACATCTGAACTGACTATTCTAATTATTCTATTATTAGTCCGTGAAAATAAAATGTATGCGTCTCCAGTCTCTACCTAGTTATCTTCTCCTTTAAGACTTACTTCAAAATGTTTGGAGCAGTTGGATAAATCGAACTCTGCCATATAGTTAGGGACAGTTAGGGTTATTATTTACTCAGGTTTGGGTTATGTTTAGTTTACTCAGGTTTAGTTTACGACGTTGTTATATTATGTCGGTGGCCATGGTGAGCTCACAGTATCGCCGCCCCTATAGCCCCTATATACCATGCGGCGTCGTGGTAGGATGGTAGCGTGCACCAGAGCTAACACGTAAGTTTCGTGTTTGAAACTCGGGCTCGAGTCCATTTTACGTCTCTGGTTATCTAACTCACGATAGGTAAATTAATTTGACGTAGAAATGGCCGCACTATCCCTACATCTTGGCAACAGAAATAAGTGAACTCTATCTTATCTCTCTATTGACCGTTAAGTTTGAAATGGTAACGACACTGTGGGTATTGGACTTCCAGTAAACTCATCATAACAAACTGAATGTGTGATGGACCCTTGACAGTCGGCCACCCAATACAATCATCAGCTGGCCATCCAATACATCCGTCAGTCGGCCATCCAATATACCCGACAGTCGGCCACCCAATACAATCATCAGCTGGCCATCCAATACATCCGTCAGTCGGCCATCCAATATACCCGACAGTCGGCCACCCAATACAATCATCAGCTGGCCATCCAATACATCCGTCAGTCGGCCATCCAATATACCCGTTAGTTGGCCATCAAATACACCCATCCTAGACACTCACGGCAATACTCACACCACTACTTGTACTATTCTTATGATCTACCGTAAATACGGACTACTGGGGGGGGGGGGGAGGGGGTTCTGACTTTTTGAGAATGATGGGTGACTTTTGGATTTTAAAAAGTTTGCAGTAGTAATTTTTAGCAAAATTTCACTTCCCCCCCCCCCCCCCCAAGATTTCGATTTGCACCCCCCCCCCCCTCAAGCTTTCAATTTATTTTTCCAACCCATTTTGGCGCCCCCTAAGGTCGGCGTTGGCGCCCGGGGACATATGTCCCGTCCTCCCCCCCCCCCCCTCGCTACGCCTCTGAGTTACTTTCACTCTCCGGGGGGGGGGGGGGGAGGGGGTAATAAGTCCGCAAGCTTACCTCTCCCCCCCCCCCCCTCCCGTAGAGAAAATATCTGAAAGAAACCCTGATGGAAATGTTTGATTTTTAATTCGCTAAAAATTGCTACCCTAACCATTGGTCATAACACTTACCATAACGCAAGATATTTTATCCAACCCTAGCGCTAACGCCAACCCTAATCAGAACCCGAGCCCTAACAGTACTAACAACGATAACTGCAGATACGATACTCTATTGTGCTGTGGTCTTTGTGGTGTTTAAAGCACGGATATTCGATTGTTACTGTTACCCCACTGAACTGGAGGGTCTGTCTAGTGGCTATTTCATTATAGACAGCAAAACATGGCATGGAATTTGATACAAAATTTATTTAAGTTTTAGCCGAGTTATTTATTATCTAGATCTATGTATGCCGTAAACATAAGTGTAAAAAAGAAGGAAAACTCTCACTTACCCCGTAGGTTCACTTCTGTATTTCGTGTGTACGGTTGTAAACTGTGTCAAATCTCCAATCAAACCAAACGGCACGTACCATTCACCACGCGCAGCCTAGACCTTGTGACCTATCGGATCAATCGTAGCAGTGGTACGGTACAGGGGTGGGTAGCGCGAGCCAAGAATGTTGAAAAGTTCATTGTCATTGGTTGGAAGAAAAAGTCAAAACAAGCGAACGCGTCGTAATTTTACTACACAGACCTCATTCATTGCCGAACGAACAAAACAAATTCCTGAATTTTCAACTGTAGTAAAAACTAATTCAAGCAGTCAGACAACCAATGTATTAGATTTATATATAAGGAAGTCCTTTTGATATTTTTTATGACTTACATAATAATATGTAAATGAATGTAGGCTATTTCTAATGGCTCCTACATTGATTTTTATTTAACATTTAAAAATACTAAGCGCAGTTTTGAAAAAAAATTGAAGACGACCATTAAAGTTAATTAAACATCAAACAGTTTTTGGAATGATCATGTTAAGCAAAGGCCCGAACCTTCTAAATTTTATACTTTTTATGTAACCGTATTCTTAAGCCTTACTGCGTTAGTAGCACTGTAACGATATTTTGACTGGCTGGGTCTGGCTCTAACCCTTACCCCTATACTGTATTAAACTAACAGTCCATCACTTGATGAATTGAAATTGATGCAGTTAACAAAAAACAAGTTAATTAAAAAAGTCTAGTGACATAATATGCGCAATTTCCTTATGTTATCTAAAAATAGCTCTGACGTATAATGCTGGGGTGCGTTCAAGCTAGAAGAACGATCGGTTTGTAGGTGTTTATGTAATTTTAAAATTTGTGCCCGAACGAGAGGATATTTTTGAAAACTTTCTTCGGCAATATAGTTCTAAATTATGGCAGAAATCGATTGGTACATGATGTTTCAAGTCGCTAAGTGGTCTGGTTGCCGAGATATGGGCAAAAAACTGCATTTTTTCGAGGTTTTTTGGCTTTTCCGGGAAATACATGAAAGAAACCCGGAATTTTTATGGCCTATGCTCATCCTCGTAGCTTGCTTAACATAATTGCTTTTGGAACTAGTCATCGATATTGCTTCGTTGAGGAGGAGATACGGCTTAAAGCTGCGGACACACATCCATCCATCCATTCATTCATACATCCAGAAATGACGGGTTAATAAACGCAATTCTCCAGAATGGAAATTGCGCTAAAAACTACCCAGTTTTTTAAAACATATTTTGGAAAATGCGATGTAACTTATTAAAATAAGTTTGATGGGAATTAAATGTCGTTTTGATAAATTGAAAAAAAGTTAACTTGCATTTTACACAACTTGTAAAACTGATAGCAAAGATATTGTAAACCTGACGTTCAAAAACACTATGATCAACTAACAAGCCTGTGAATAAAGGCAGCCTTATAGACGCTTTTTAAAGGGTTACTGTTCTAAAAATATATCAATAGAGTTTAATGGGGTGCCATTATTGCATTACTGTTAACAATGCTCTGTTTGACACATCATAAGTCTAACAACGGTTCACACTGTAATTAAAATTTGGTGACGTTAATATAGACTCGGTTTTTTGTCCCCTTCCTTCTATGATTGATATGACGTCATCGAAATTTGCGTTACTTAAAATAGCGCTTTATCACACCGGCCCAAACACGAAAAGCTATTTATTATTAGATCTGTGAATGGGGGATTGCTTTGGTACTAGGTAACTAATTAAGTTCTTATCGCCTAATTAGTTAGAACACTTTAGACGTCTACTCGTGGAATGTCGAGTAAAATATAGGTCATCGTGCCGAGAGGCTAGCTAATCTTCGACCAAACGTGAGGTACCCTAAAGGCTGGCGATTTTTGTCATTGCAGATTTGTCGTGCTTACAGGCGCGGCTACTATTTTGGGAAATTGACGAAAAATGCCACGAATGCTTGTTGAATGTTTACCTAGCCTTGCTGATACAGCTACTGATGTCCTCAACTGCGCCCCCCCCCCCCCCCATCCTTACTTACTACACTTCCTAGATATGTCAAGCTGATTTTGCATACACTTTCACACACACACGAACATATATATAAATATAAATATAAATATAAATATAAATATAAATATAAATATAAATATAAATATATATATATATATATATATATATATATATATATATATATATATATATATATATATATATATATATATATATATATATATATATATATATATAATATTTGGAATTTAAAAAAAAATTCTAATGACAAAATTCTGCCTATAACAATGTAGATAATGGTCTGAGAAAATAATTTGCTGAAATCCTTGATACCATAAAAAGGCAATTACCGCCCTTAATAAATCGATTGTGAGAACAAACGGCAAACACTAACACGAAAAGCCCTTTAGGGAGTATTATGATAGGAGAGTTATTGAACTTTGGAGCCTCATCTCTAAAGAAATGGCCTTCATCTCAGCAAAACGACTGACGTATATACTTTTTTTATTCAATGTGGGGGGGGGGTTATAATTATATATCATTGTGTGAGTAGCTTCCAGTATGTACTTTTATTTTGTGTGTAGCACTTTAGCTACACTGTAGACATTTCACATTGGAGGTCAGAGGTCAATAAAGACAGATGCTTGTGTGGGCCGTAAAAAATGACGTCACGTCATGTTTGCCAATGATGTCTCTTATGGTCCTGCTGTCACTTCGTCACAAAATGTCAAACCCATTTCCTCCATAAACTAGCCACAATTCTAAAATAATTTTTAACGTTTAAAAAATTATCATTTACTTTTATAGGCCTATATAAAAATGTATACATATATATAGTCCAGTCCTCTTTGTATATAATATATATTGTCCCTATATGTAGGCCAATATATATATATACGACGTATGGATTTAATATATGTAGGCCTATATATATATATATATATATATATATATATATATATATATATATATATATATATATATATATATATATATATAATATGTATCGCTGGCAGCAAACTTTGGTTTTTACTTTTTTACACATTTTTTGTGTCCATCCAACCCTATGGATAACTAGATTTGAAATGCTTACACCAGGGGTTCCCAACCTTTTTTACCTCTAGAGCACATTCTAAAATATCGGTAGGTTGGCGGGCACCACCTATTTTAAATCGACAAACTCCTTCCAGAGGCGTAGCGACCCTTCCCAGCGCCCGGGGACAAAACTTTCGATTTGCACCCCCCCCCCTCCCCCCCTCAAACTTTCAATTTCCATCCCCTTCAACCTTTCAATAATGTTTATGAAAAAAAATTCTGTCTCTGCCGAATAGTGAGAGGCGGGCACATACGAATCGTTCGGCGGGCGCCATGGCGCCCGCGGGCACAGTGTTGGGAACCCCTGGCTTACACAATCAAACAATACTTCTACCTTTAATTCGAATTGATAGACACGTTGTTTTATTTAACCCACTGGAATTATGTTTTACAAAAATCATGTCCTGAAAAATTATTCCCGTGTTTGTAAACACGTAGAATCTAGTAGATAAACAATCTACATGACCGTGCAAGTTTAGTATTGATTACATTATTAGACATACTACTACTACCAAAGCCTACTTGACAATTATTATAATAGTAAAATGCGAATGACATTATTCATTATTTTTATTTTGAAGATCCTGCTCTCTGCCCCTTGACCTTTGACCTTACAGAGGACGGCCTGAGGAAAGTTGTAATGAAACTTTATTAAGGTCTTGTAACTGTTATCAAAATGAGTGTCTTGGCATCGAAGATTTCGTTAATAAAAGTTAACCCTAGATTAACTCTTGCTAAAGTAAGATTACTAAGTCATAGAATAGATCTAATAGATAACATGCAAACGTGAAGGGTAGCATTTTTCTGGACTAGATTTCACTAGATCCAGAATCAAGTTGTTTAAGTTGTTGTTTTGAGTTTTGATAATGTCTAAATCTAGATCTAGATTTAAGTAAAAATTAAAATAATGAATAGGGCCTAATGTCAATGTGTTGTGTATTATTGTGTATGTATGTATTATGTAATTCAGTCAATGTAATGATATTGACATGTAGAATCTATGTTAAAAAATTTAAAAATATCAATTTTTAAAATTTGTTTGTATTATTGTAGTTTGTAGATCTATATTAATATTATTTTGTAGGCCTAAAAACTAAAAGTACATTTACTACAAAATTTACAAACAAGTGTAGAAGAATCTAGACTCTAGCTAGATCTGGTCTACAGAATCTACAGTATTATATTCTAGAGTAGTAGTAGAATCTAGTAGATCTAGATCTAGTACTAGTAGAGGTAGTAGGCCTAAAAATACTGTAACAATCTGTAGATCTCAAAAGTATGAGAACAGTCTTTCTTTCAGGCATCTCTTCAGGGTGGGGGGGGGGGGGGGGGGGGGATCAGTAGAAGTAGAATGTATGTAATATGTAAGGTTCCTTCAATTTATACTTCATATTTTATTATAGTTATAGAGTGGACTATAGTGAAGCTATTAGATTCTAATTAGTAATTAGATCTATGGGATCATCCATAAATAACGTCACGCTTTTTAAAACGATTTTTACCTCCCCCCTCCCCTCCGTCACACATCTTCACAAAAAGCCAGACCCCTCCCTCCTAAAATGAAGTCACACCTCAGCCTACTACACCCCTCAAAATTGCAGATGAATTTTTCTTTAAAACATCAATATTTTTCCAAAATCTTGTGCTGAACTCTGTCAAAATATAGTATTTTAATCAGTTCCTATTACAATTTATTAAAACAGTTTTCTAAAACGCGAAATAACGTCTAAAATTCGTTTTCTAACATTGCTTTTTTATAATGCAAAAGTGTGACGTTGCACCATCTGAACCCCTCCCCCCTCCCCCTCATCACACACCCTCACAAAATTACGGACCCCCCCTTTCCAACCCCCTAACCAGTGTGAGGTCATTTATGGACGACCCCTATAGTATTATATATATATATATTGTTACCAGATTAGGCTACTCTAGTGACCTAGTAAGTTATCTACTTAATATAGATTACTGATGACTTGAAACAATGATACCATTTTTGTTTTGCTGTCTCAGAATATAAGAATTAAGATCTTTAGCTACCAAACAGATATAATTAATTTAGAATAAATTGCACAAAAATAGTTCATCCTAGTTACTAGTCTGGATCTAAATTTATAATAGGCCTACTACTAAGTAAAGTTTTTGATTTATGTTTATTTGATCTAAGTAGTAGTTCCCCTACTGATCCATTTATTTCCCATTGTTTGTTTATTATTTTAACATCACAGCAAATTTTAAACACATGATTTGGTGGTTTCTGGGATATTATACTGAGCAGTAGTCCCTTACTTATCCATTTTTCCAATGTTTATTATTTTAACCTCGCAGCAAATTTTAAACACATGATTTGGTGGTTTCTGGGATATTATACTAAGCAGTAGTCCCTTACTTATCCATTTTTCCATTGTTTATTATTTTAACATCGCAGCAAATTTTAAACACATGATTTGGTGGTTTCGGGTAGTTCATACGGACTACATGATCTAGTATAACCCTAACTAAATTAAGAGCAAGATATCAACTATTTTACTCTGCTCAGATGAAAATATTAAGAATTAAAAACTAATATACTGTCGTTATAATATATTTAGTTTAAAAAAAAACAGTCTTAATAACAACACAGGAGGCATTTCAGTTTTAAGCTGTTCTTTTATCTACTTGATTGATCTTATCAAGTGGGGGAGATAATCACTAAAGAAATGCTGGAAAAACCTGAAAGGCCTATTGTGGTACCAGGTACAGGAATTGTTCCAGTGGACTCATTTTGTTAAATATCTAAAAAAATTGGCACAGTTCCAAATGTAACCTATTACAGATTACCTATTACAGATTACTCATGCAGATGGAATTCCCACCCGCAGATTAGACAGTTAAACGTAATTATGTTATAGAAATAAGCTAGTTATCGTCATTGGAAGCTGCAAGCCTTTATAAAGAGGGGGGGGGGAGACTTTATATATTTATATATATATATATATATATATATATATATATATATATATATATATATATACATACATATACATATGAAGAGTTGATTTTCAAAATGCAATATATCCAAAATTTGGGTTTCGAGAAAATCGCACTTTTCTCCTACACGAAGCCATTGTACAATATGCTAAAACTGTTTGTCAATTTAGGTTCATAACCCTCATATACATAGGACTAGAATGGTTTTTGAAATGTACTTGCATAAAAAGATACTTTTTTTTTTGTCCCAAAATTTGCGTTTCGTTGCAAAATGAGGTATATCCAGCTTTTGTTAAGCTACAAAACGCTGTATATCCATTTTTTTTTCTAATAATACATATGATGTCCAATATTTTAGTTTATTATTTTATTAAGACCCACTTATATTCCCAGTGTTATCATCTCACTACAATTGTACCATGTTTTTCTGTTACTTTAAAGTGTTTTTAGTGAGTAATTTCAGTTATTTGAACAATTTTCAAAAATGATGCAAGTCTCTAACGAGAGACTTTAATTTGAAGAGTACAGCTTGTCTTTAGGTTCATAAACCTCATATAAATAGGACTAGAATGGTTTTTGAAATGTACCTGCATAAAAAGATGCTTTTTTTTTGTCCCAAAATTTGCGTTTCGTTGCAAAATGAGGTATATCCAGCTTTTGTTGTGACCTACTTAGGTCGAGTCAGGTTCCATTTTTATTTTGACATTGTATAATACCTTATATGTAATGATTGTGCAACTCCTGGGGATTTTCCACTGTCGTATTAAGGGTGTCTAAGACGTAGAAATTTTCCATTAAGATCTGATTGAATGATTCTGATCATATGACCCTCCCAACCAATGGCTACATGAGTTGAGGATGACCTCCCCTGTGGCAGAAGTCTTTAATTGCCCCGCACACTCGCCACACGTGGCAGGGCAGTTTCCTTGATCAAGAGTCTACCAGGATCAAACGGTCCATTACGACCAAGCCGTCCATATTGTCCGGCAATAGATTCTGACCATTTGAACGTGAGAGAACTTAAGACCTGTGTGTGCCTTGCTTTCTTAAGTTGATTTAGTCTTCTAGTATAATATTACTTGTCGCCAAGTAATTCTTGAAGCTATAGCAGTGTTGTGTGGCCTGTGGCTAGTTTTTACAGTGGTGAAATCTGTGATAGTGTTTTTTCTTACATTTTGTAAGTTGGGTTTTGATATTTTATACATTAAATATTTTATCTAGTTTAACTTTGTGTTCTGCCACAACTGTGTTCGCTTATTAAAGGTTGTATGCAGATTGGATGAGTGTTAATTTCAATAGTATCACTAGTTTTCCCTAGACATCGAATTCGAGCCCTAGTGTGCCGTTGTGTTAGTGTTCATCCATTTAGGCCGTAAGGCATTTGCATATAACCCCGAAAAAAGAATCCGGGGACGTTCTCCTTCTATCTGGCTGATAGATAGGTAAACGTTACATTGTTAAGCTACAAAATAGAAATAAAATGAAAATTTTGCGCCGTGAAGATTAAAATTAAGTTTTCCTAATAGTAACTGAGTAGCTTTACAATATGGGCACGCTATCTCATTTTTTTCAAAAATGGCGCTTATCGCGTTTTGAAAATCAACTCTTCATATATATATATATATACATATATATATATATACATATATATATATATATATATATATATATATATATATATATATATATATATATATATATATATATATATATATATATATATATATATAAAATTTGTGTATGTGTTAACAAATTTTGTTTTGCCTATGATTGTTGCTATATAAACTTTGCTATACTGAAATTATTCACTGGTCTTATAATGACATTGTTTTTGTCTTGATTGTGTAAGTTTTGCAGGCTGTTCAGTTCAACTCCAGCTTTCAGAGCTCAGGCTGAGGCTGCCCAACCACCACTGACACTCACAACAGATTCCAACGGGATACGCACAATATGCCTGAATGATTCTCGGAAAAGGTTAAACAATAAAATAGATTTCTTGTTAAAAGAATTACTAAATTTGTTTTTATTAAACTGGATACGCACAGTATGCCTGAATGATTCTCGGAAAAGGTTAAACAATAAAATAGGTCTCTTGTTAAAAGAATTATTAAATTTGTTGTTGTTAAACAGGATACGCACAGTATGCCTGAATGATCTCGGAAAAGGTTAAAAAATAAAATAGATCTCTTGTTAAAACAATTATTAAATTTGTTGATGTTAAACTACTGTTACAAATGAAGTAGGGTTTGTTAATTTCAAATGTGTGAAGAATCTACATGGTCACCAGTCTTAGAGTCAAATAGGCTTTAGTGATTAGTTTTTGGGGGAAGGGGGCTAGTATTTATTATCCTAATAGTTTGAAATCATAATTATAAATTGTTTTGATGTCAGTGACTGTATATTTCTGCCCTGAATCCCCCAGAAATGCCTTATCTCTGGCTATGCTAGAGTCCCTGCTACAGGACCTAGACAGAGACCAGGAGGAACTACGTGTCGTCATCATCAAAGCCAGTGGTCCAGTCTTCAGTGCCGGACATGACCTTAAGGAACTGGTCAGTTGTTTTTTAAATTTCATGGCATGTTTGTTAATGACAACAAATATTACACTATACCAGGGGTCGGCAACCTGCGGCTCGCGAGCCGCATGCGGCTCTTTTGATGTCAAGATGCGGCTCTTCAGCTCCTTGCACAAATATTAATAGTTATATCATTTCATTTTCAAAATTCATAACAAAAATTATACTGTAAAGAAACACAAGTTTAAACAGAAGAAAAAACTCATTAGAAAACAGTGAGAATTGGTGCAGTAGAAAGTATACGGACAGACGCTTGGGCACCAGGCCCAGCCCCACAGCCGTACTGTGGACAGCCCCGTAGCGACCTTTCTATGCTTTCAACTGCCAAAGTGCTGACTTTTTCAAATATAATTAAATGAGTGGCGTTGTTTTTTAGTTATGAGCTTTCTACTGTTGAACTGGGTACTGGACGGTGGGGTACGAGTTTACCCTGTGTTCAGTTGGGTGGAAAATAAGCCTGGTGAGAATGGTAGGACAGAAGCGACAGATACACGGTAATCAAACCAATATCCAAGCCAGTTAGTCGGAGTTAGCCATGTTGAGGGCTGCCTGGCTATGTGAGACACCTCCTGACCGGTGATGTCCGTAAAGAAGGGCAAAAAGTTATCAGTTTCTAAAGTGGATTGTGACAGTCCTATATTTTTATTTTTTTATCACTAATTTCATTATTCTGGCAAAACAAGTGTATGTTTTTATATGAATAAATATTATTTCATATATAAAGCTATTTATTTTAAATAATAAATCAAATTTATTTTCCTAATCCTAATAAAAAAATAAAATATTGAAATTTAAAAAATGTTAGTGGCTCTCTAAAATCTGGAAAATTTTGAAAATTGTAACTTTTGGCTCTTCCGTCTCAAAAGGTTGCCGATCCCTGGTCTATAGGGCACGTGAAGTAGAGTTTACTTGTTTCTCTATATGTATCTTTAATGTCTATTGTAAAATAGTAGTATAGCATCGATGATGATGATGATATTGGTGATGATTGAAAAAATTCCTGATAAAACCTTGTGTATTTAAGACTATCCCATATCTACAAATAAAACATTTTAAAAAGCTATGGCTTATACAGTCAAAAAAGAGTTCTATAATTTATGTACTTTAAAAATTTGACCAGGATTTGATAACAGCAATGTTTTCTAAAATAAAATAAAAATTCACTTATTTATATTTTATTAATATTGAAACTCTTTTTTTAAAATGAATTTTTGAAATCATCTTTGAAGACTTTTTCCCCTTGGTTGCTTTGTATTTGTAAATGGGAAGTAACAAGCATAAGATAGTTTTAGTAAAAGGTTAACGAAAAAACTCTATTTGTAAAAATAAAGTTCATTTAAGAGGAGGCATCTGACACTGGTAAGACAAGATTCCACGAAAGGTTCCACAAAGTAACTGTTGCGTTATATTTTTCTCAAATAACATGGGTACCGTAATAAAGTTTTTCACTATTTAACAGTCCTTGAACAGTTTTTGTTTTGGTATCACACAACTTATGTAGTAAACAGTTCAACAAACACTTAATTTCTATGGTGTAGTACTTCAGCAGAGCAAGCTCAGAGTTTACTTTTTATTTTGTTTTCTTCCCCATTTGCTAGACGCCTCCCTTGGCTAGTCCTCTGTGTATCATCATTTGTGTAAAAATATCGAACATGTGTAACAATATCGAAATTGAGTAACAATATCATCCCCGTTTAACAATATCATCCTTGTGTATCATAATCATCCTTATGTAACAATTTACTAACAAAATAATCCAAACAATCCAAACAATCCCCACAATCACGTGACATAAAACTACAGGTGTGTTGTGTATATCAGATATCAGACTTAGAGCTAGGGCTGTGGTTTGATTAATGGTAGAACTTATTCTAAGGTTTGGTGTAAGGATAGCGTCGACATTATTAAGCGATGTTGGGTACAATTTTAGGACCAGTAATACAAAAACCCAACTTTAAAAAAAAAGTAGATTCCACTATTAAATTAGGACACCCAAAGCCCCCATTCATCAAGATGGTTTTGTTTGAAAATTCAGGTTAATATATGACAGAGTTGTTGATTCGTCTTTTTACATCATTTAAAACGTGTCTAACCTGCTTTTCAACATTTTCAACGTCAGCCACAAACAAAACATAGCTTCAATGACAAGTGAGGGATATAACAAAATAAGATATTCAAGGTTCTGTCCCCTTCCCCAAAAAACTACGAACTAAAACCAGAAGGGAAGCAACTTGAATTATCGATGTGTCAGGGGCGATAATTCTTGTTTAGTACTGGTAACAATGAAGAAAGTGTCTAGTAACATTCTCAGTGTGAATACAACCATGTCTTTGGTTATATTGAAACATGATTCTATCAAGAAAAGATACACCAGAAACTTAAAAGAGGGCCACATTTTGTTTTGACCGCCAGTATTACTACAATCAGTGTTTTACAAGGGTACAGACAGTTGCTGAAATTGTGTTCAGTTTCTTTAAGGCATCTCTTCGTTTCTGCCCCCCCCCCCCCCCCCCTCGCCGAAGAAAGTATACCGCCCCCACCCCACAACTACCTAACGAAACAGAATTTATATAGAAAATAATTACTTTTACCAGTGTCCCCCCACCCCACCCAAGAAAAATTTTGTTCGCCCCCTCCCCCCTCGAAAGTGCCTCACCCCCCCCCCCCCCCCCCCCCCCCCCCGGAGAAAAAAGTCTTGAAGAAACACTATGTTATAATAAAAATTTATCAGCATCGGTTGGCTAGATTATCAACAGTAACAACAAGGGGGGGGGGGGGGGGGGAATTCAGACAGTTCTGGGTGACACCAATATGGCCGGGGGTAAGGGAGACACTAAAGCGGGAAAAAAGCAATATATTTAATTTAAAAAAACAACAACTATGCATTTCAAGTTTAGATAATGACTAATTAGTTGAATCTTTTAAGTACAGTTTAAAAAATGTGTTAAATACTCCAGTTTAAAATGTATGACACAAAATAACACATCACACACATCACACACAACACATAAAACAAACACATCACACACATCACACACATCACATACAAGCACAACAAGACTCATCGTACATCACATCACATACAAGCACAACAACACTCATCGTAAAAAAAATCGATTTTCTAATCAATGCTACATAAATTTGTATTTCACTATGAAATATTAACAAGATTTAAGGTCAGCAATCAAAAGTAGGGGAAATAATCACATTCTTTATTACTGTTAGGTGCACCTATTTAATTTCATCCTATAAATTTTATTTTGTAAAAGAATAAACTGTAAATACACTATGTAATACATGTTTTTTAATGTTATTACAAAACATTTTTGTTTCTTTAAATCGTAAATATTTTATTTTAATGTAAGCTATGTATATAAACTGTGACTTTTGTTTATAAAAAACCAAATTAATCTTTAACGCACTACGCTTGATGCCAGTTCCAATACTTCATCAGTTATCGGTTTCCAATAATAATTACTATCAAAATAACTTATTATCGGGTAAGACTAAATAAGGGGGGATCAGCAATGGATCAACTCAACAGTAGTTACGTATAACACTTGAATTAACAGCATTCAGAGTTTGCTATAGGCCAGGGCTCAGCAACCTGCGGCTCGCGAGCCGCATGCTGCTCTTTTGATGTCAAGATGCGGCTCTTCAGCTCCATGCACACATATTAATAATTTTCATATTTAATTTTTAAAACTTATAATTTTATACATTTTTTTTGCAACACTCGATGTTGAACGCATAATAATAAATGATAAACACTGGCTATTATATTAGAGTGTTTAGTATATATATATATATATATATTTATATATATATATATATATATATATATATATATATATATATATGTATATATATATAAATATAAAATCCTAATCAAATATCATACTATTGAAATAAAAATGTTAGTGGCTCTTTAAAACTGGGTAATTTTGTAAATTGTAACTTTTGGCTCTTCCGTCTCAAAAGGTTGCCGACCCCTGCACTATACTGATCACATTATGACATTTTACTGACCAACAATATGACACTACACTGACCAACAATGTGAGCTTATACTAACCACTAATTTCACAGTATACTGACCACTAATATGAAACTACTGACCACCTAATGACATTATACTGATGACCAGTATGACACTATACTGACCAGCAATATAACACAACTGAATCTTTCCCAGACACAAGAGAAAGGTCTGGAGTTCCACGAGAAGGTGTTCTCTACCTGTTCAGATGTCATGAACTTAATCCAGGTAGGTGCTTGCTGCATTCACACAGGTCACATCAAATACAGGTAACTCAGTAGGTCCTCTACAACAGGTCACATCAAATACAGGTAACTCAGTAGGTCCACTACAACAGGTCACAGGTCACTCAGTAGGTCCACTACAACAGGTCACATCAAATACAGGTAACTCAGTAGGTCCATTACTACAGGTCACATCAAGACAGGTAACTCAGTAGGTCCACTACAACAGGTCACAGGTAACTCAGTAGGTCCACTACAACAGGTCACAGGTAACTCAGTAGGTCCACTACAACAGGTCACAAGTCACTCAGTAGGTCCACTACAACAGGTCACTCAGTAGGTCCACTACAACAGGTCACAGGTCACTCAGTAGGTCCACTACAACAGGTCACAGGTCACTCAGTAGGTCCACTACAACAGGTCACAGGTCACTCAGTAGGTCCACTACAACAGTGAGATAAACACCATTGACCAACTTCAATATTTTAACACAAGTTGCATAAGATATTCTCTAAGTTTCACAAGTTGCATAAGATATTCTCTAAGTTACACAAGTTGCATTAGATATTCTCTTAAGTTTCACAAGTTGCATAAGATATTCTCTAAGTTTCACAAGTTGCATAAGATATTCTCTCAAGTTTCACAAGTTGCATAAGATATTCTCTCAAGTTTCACAAGTTGCATAAGATATTCTCTTAAGTTTCACAAGTTGCATAAGATATTCTCTAAGTTACACAAGTTGCATTAGATATTCTCTTAAGTTACACTAGTTGCATAAGATATTCTCTAAGTTTCACAAGTTGCATAAGATATACTCTCAAGTTTCACAAGTTGCATAAGATATTCTCTCAAGTTACACAAGTTGCATTAGATATTCTCTTAAGTTTCACAAGTTGCATAAGATATTCTCTCAAGTTTCATAAAGTTGCATAAGATATTCTCTAAGTTTCACTAGTTGCATAAGATATTCTCTAAGTTTCACAAGTTGCATAAGATATTCTCTAAGTTTCACTAGTTGCATAAGATATTCTCTCAAGTTTCACAAGTTGAATAAGATATTCTCTAAGTTTCACAAGTTGCATAAGATATTCTCTTAAGTTTCACAAGTTGCATAAGATATTCTCTCAAGTTTCACAAGTTGCATAAGATATTCTCTCAAGTTTCACAAGTTGCATAAGATATTCTCTAAGTTTCACAAGTTGCATAAGATATTCTCTAAGTTTCACAAGTTGCATAAGATATTCTCTAAGTTTCACAAGTTGCATTAGATATTCTCTTAAGTTTCACAAGTTGCATAAGATATTCTCTAAGTTTCACAAGTTGCATTAGATATTCTCTCAAGTTTCACAAGTTGCATAAGATATTCTCTCAAGTTTCAATTTTAATTTTATGAAAAATTGTGTTGAGCCTTATTTTTAATGGCATTAATTGATGCACAAAATGATTATTCAACCTGGAAAGTTATGTGAGATTTCCAAAAACAGTGACTTTTAGGTTGGTATAAAATTTAGTTGCAAAATTTAGTTTTAGAACAAAAAAAACATTTTTAACTTAAATTTTAAGACCCATTAACTAATTGAAAATAATTTATTGACTGATTGCTTCTTTGTTCCTGTAGGATTTACCTGTGCCAGTAATTGCCCAAGTTCAAGGTAATTTGATTTGTTGAAGGTCGTGATGTGTGGTAAGACTGGGCTGAATACAATCCCTTGTTCTACCTGACTTAAAATTTGATTTGTTGAAGGTCGTGATGTGTGGTAAGACTGGGCTGAATACAATCCCTTGTTCTACCTGACTTTATGTAAACTGGTTGACAAATTTAATTGGAAGGAAGGGGGGGGGGGACTGTAAGCTTAGGCCAACTTTATTCGAAGTCACGTAATAATAATTGAACCATTGTAACAAGTAATTGTAACCAGAGCTCTAATTTAAATTGTAGCATGATGGTGTAGGTTTATCTGAGCTAACAGCTGCTAAGCTCTGGTATGATAAACATTACCAGAATGTGCTCAAAACCATAACACAGATGTCAGGTCCTTAACTGAACCGTATAAGCAAAAATGTAGTTCATGGCGTTCTCTTATTTCTTTAACTAGAAATGTTTATTATATATTAAAGGGAGATAATGACATGATTGTAAATTTTGACAGCTTAATAAATTATAAATCCTTTTTTTTTTGTGCCTCTCTGAAGGGAATGTTACACCTTAGTTAAATTATTTAAGATCTTTGTGTTAACTAACAAGGCACTAGAATTTAAAAATATGTTGTTCCTTATTTTTTGTTTACCCAACAGATTTTATTTCTCTCCCTAGGGCTAGCAACAGCTGCAGGCTGTCAGCTAGTGGCGTCATGTGACATAGCAGTGGCGTCACAGTCCTCCCAGTTTGCCACTCCAGGGTAGGGACTTGTTTTCCTGATTTATTCAAATAATTCACCGTTGCGTCTTCTGTCACAACATATCTTGCAACAGTAAAGACTTAATTAATAGCAATGATATTGTTTTTAATTATTGTAAAAGTTGATTGTTTAGTTTATCTCAAGCTATACAAACCCGATATTTTAAAAATAAAACATTGTAAGAACTTGTCAATTTGTCTTAAACTAAAAACATGGGTCCCTCCTTTTTTTTGTTACATTGTGAGGAGACAACGGGTACCATGCTTGTTCTGATTCTATATTTCAAATTTGTTTCACTGTAGTCTCCACAATTCACTGTTGCATACCTAAAATATAACTTCAATTCAGGCTCTCTAAATATTATTAGTTTTAAAAATTTAGTAACTGGCACTAAAATTATGCAATGGCTGTTGGCTAGTGAGATGTAATATTGTAATGGGGCAACTATTTATGCTCAGGGGAAGCAACCTATTATGTCATAACTTAATTTTAATGTGATCATCTTGCATAGCTTTTAACCGAAAATAAATTTGTTTTTAAATATGAAAGGTTTTAATTAGTTATTGTATATGAAATAATCAGTAAAATAATCAGTAAAATAATCAGGAAAATACCAGATTATAAAACCTGGGGGTGTTGTTTCACAGGGTCAACGTTGGATTATTTTGTACAACCCCTGGGGTCGCCTTAGGGAGGTCAGTGCCAAGAAAGGTTGCCATGGAGATGTTATTCACTGGACACCCCATTTCTGCTGGAGGTCTCCTCGTCTTGTTTACTATTTCACTTTTATTTCTAATTAAATCATAATTACTTTTTTTTTATAATTAAATTTTAATTGATACATTCACTTTTAAAATTGTTCCAAAACTTGTCTTTAAAACCAAAGTTCCTGTGTTTTCCACAGATGCCCTACTGTACGGGTTGGTCAGCAAGGTGGTCCCAGATTCACAAGTTGAACAAGAGGTAAGGCAGGTTCACATTTGATTTACTCACACTCATTTCATAGTTCCTTGTGGAGTTTTCTCTGTGTATTCTGACAATCATTTCATATTCATAGTTCCTTGTGAAGTTTTATTTGTGTATTCTGACAATCATTTCATATTCATAGTTCCTTGTGAAGTTTTATTTGTGTATTCTGACAATCATTTCATATTCATAGTTCCTTGTGAAGTTTTATTTGTGTATTCTGACAATCATTTCATATTCATAGTTCCTTGTGAAGTTTTATTTGTGTATTCTGACAATCATTTCATAGTTCCTTGTGGAGTTTCCTGACAATATTTATGTGTGACACTTATTTATATTAAACACTTGTTTTCAACTGAGATATGAGGTATTGAGAGGGATGGATCTTCAGCCATTCTGCTTTTTTCAAGGGTTTAAGTTCAAAAACTTTTTATTACTTTCTGAACAGTTAAAAGGTTATAAAAACTCAGGATTAAAAAATACTCTTTCTTTGTTTTGTTTTTAAAAAAACTTCATTGTAAAAATTATAAATTTTCTCAGTTTAGATAATTAGTATAAAGTTATATTACTAAAATGCTTTAAAGTTTTGCTGAATTTAACATGTGTGGCACAACTAAAAAAAGCCGCAGAATGTTTTAAAGTTAGTTTCTCTTGTCCAGATTGAACTAGACTCAAACTTTTTATCTGTCTTACTTAATGATTTCTGATGTGCTTTAGACATAATTGTACTATGTTTCTTACTTAATGATTTCTGATGTGCTTTAGACATAATTGTACTATGTTTCTGACTTAATGATTTCTATGTGCTTTAGACATAATTGTACTATGTTTCTGACTTGATGATTTCTTTGTACTTCAGACAATGAGGATCGCAGAAAGAATTTGTGAAACTAGTAAAGATGTTGTGGCGCTGGGTAAAGCAGCTTTTTATGCTCAGGTTACCATGGACAAGAAGAATGCCTACAGGTAGGCTGGTGGTTCATGTCTCTTTACATCAGTGTTGGTTCCTGTCTCTTTACATCAGCAGGTAGACTGTTGGCTCATGTCTCTTTACATCAGTGTTGGTTCATGTCTCTTTACATCAGTGTTGGTGCATGTCTCTTTACATCAGTGTTGGTTCATGTCTCTTTACATCAGCAGGTAGACTGTTGGCTCATGTCTCTTTACATCAGTGTTGGCTCATGTCTCTTTACATCAGCAGGTAGACTGTTGGCTCATGTCTCTTTACATCAGTGTTGGCTCATGTCTCTTTACAACAGCAGGTAGACTGTTGGCTCATGTCTCTTTACATCAGTGTTGGTTTATGTCTCTTTTGGTTCATGTCTCTTTACATCAGTGTTGGTTCATGTTTCTTTACATCAGTGTTGGCTCATGTCTCTTTACATCAGTGTTGGTTCATGTCTCTTTACATCAGTGTTGGTTCATGTTTCTTTACATCAGTGTTGGTTCATGTCTCTTTACATCAGTGTTGGTTCATGTCTCTTTACATCAGTGTTGGTTCATGTCTCTTTACATCAGTGTTGGCTCATGTCTCTTTACATCAGTGTTGGCTCATGTCTCTTTACATCAGTGTTGGTTCATGTCTCTTTACATCAGTGTTGGCTCATGTCTCTTTACATCAGTGTTGGTTCATGTCTCTTTACATCAGTGTTGGTTTATGTCTCTTTTGGCTCATGTCTCTTTACATCAGTGTTGGCTCATGTCTCTTTACATCAGTGTTGGCTCATGTCTCTTTACATCAGTGTTGGCTCATGTCTCTTTACATCAGTGTTGGTTCATGTTTCTTAACATCAGTGTTGGTTCATGTCTCTTTACATCAGTGTTGGTTCATGTCTCTTTACATCAGTGTTGGTTCATGTCTCTTTACATCAGTGTTGGCTCATGTCTCTTTACATCAGTGTTGGCTCATGTCTCTTTACATCAGTGTTGGTTCATGTCTCTTTACATCAGTGTTGGCTCATGTCTCTTTACATCAGTGTTGGTTCATGTCTCTTTACATCAGTGTTGGTTTATGTCTCTTTTGGCTCATGTCTCTTTACATCAGTGTTGGCTCATGTCTCTTTACATCAGTGTTGGTTCATGTCTCTTTACATCAGTGTTGGCTCATGTCTCTTTACATCAGTGTTGGTTCATGTCTCTTTACATCAGTGTTAGTTCATGTCTCTTTACATCAGTGTTGGTTCATGTCTCATGTTTTAGTTAGTCAGGGCACCCAACTCATAACATTCAATCTAGCAAGCCCATGATTCAATGCTAGACCATGCCATCATAGCTGTGCTTTGACTTCTGTAAGGTAACTAATAGGAAAGTAAATGATGTACACAGTTACTGTAGAAAGAGCTGGCACAGGTTTCACTTTCAATAGCAGCACCCAGAATAGAGCCAATCCCAGATACTGTGGAACTGTAAGGGGAAACAATCCATTGTAGCACTACAACCCAGTCTTTCCTTTGTCTACTAACAGCAGCAGTGGTGTTGGATGGAGAGATGTTACTCAGCTAAACCAAACACCCGTTGTAATACAAAAACTATAAACAGCTGGAGAGAAATGAATCAACACCCATCTAACAAAATAATTTGATGTCCGCAGATATTCTGAAAAAAATATGGTGAAAAACCTGAATCAACACCCATCTAACAAAATAATTTGATGTCCTCAGATATTCTGAGAAAATTATGGTGAAAAATCTTAATCAACACCCTTCTAACAAAATAATTTGATGTCCGCAGATATTCTGAGAAAATTATGGTGAAAAACCTGATGCTGCAAGATGGTGGTGAAGGCATCAGGGCTTTCATTGAGAAGAGAAAACCAGAATGGAAGAAAGGTTAAAGTTCACAGTTCAAGGTCGTGTGCACAGTGTGAGCTAAACAAACAGAACTTGGTTGTAAATTTAATGTTGAGCATTTTTTTTTATTGTAACCAAAGAGAAGTGCACAATTATAGTCATTAACTTTAACAATGATTTATGATATTGGCTATAGTTAATGCCATTCATTGTGATGGGTTCTGCTAATCAAGTATGCTGCTACCACTTACAACAAAACCTTTTACAATTGTACAGTCACTGCCAGTGGTGATGGTTTAGCCATTGTTGCAAGCCTTGTTATTTTATGTACAAGACACGTCAAAGTGATCAGAAATATTTTTAAATTGTTGATTCGCTCATTTTGCACATTTTTTTTTTGAGAAAATAATTTTTTTAAATAGATCTATTAAAATTGTGCATTAACTTTTTCATATTTTGAAATTTAAGAACATTTTTTACGTATATGCAATTTTTTTAAACTGTTATTGAAAGTTTATTGATTGTATACGTTTACATGTATATAAAATATTTTCTGCTATTGACTCTGGTAGCTACAAGTATGTAAATAAAGCACCAGCATTACGATGCTTAGAAAACCTATGGGAGATTTAATAAAAATAAACATGAAAGGGTTATTTTTCTGTTTTGAGTCTTATTGTTACAGTTCTAACTAGTAATGTCACAAGGGGGGGGGGGGGGGGTTGATGCTGTCTGTAATGGGTAACTGGGTGATGCCTAATTAAAAAAGTCTTTAAACTACTGTCACGACTATATTTTATCCAATAAAAATATTAAAATACTAGGAGAGTGGGGTGACACCAAAACCAAATTTTAAGTTGTTGGACTGGGGTGTAAGCTGAAGTTGTGACGTCACTGGTTGTAACCAAAACCTCACTATCCCACACAACTGGTTCCCTCACACAGTTCCCTCACACAACAGGCTCCACACAGCTGTGCTGATATTTCTCTCCATGATACCTGTTCCCTTTGTTGTTGAAACCACCTCTGTCTGTATCTATCACAGACTTAACAAACAAGTTTTATCAGACTCCAGATAAAAAAATTTTATCAGACTGCATATATAAAACCTTGGAATATTCTAAATGCTTTAGTGTAATATGGTCCAACAAATTCTAGTCCAAAAAATTCTTCTCGACTGAAATTTTTTTTTTTAAAGTATCAATGGCTTACAGTAAACCTAAACAGTGACGTAACCAGGATCGTCTCAAAGGGGGGGTTCCAAATTTTACCCGGGGAAAAAACTTTCGATTTGCACCCCCCCCCCCACCTCCTCAAACTTTCGATTTGCACACCCCTCAAACTTTCGATTTGCACCCCACTTATACTTTATATATATATATATATACCGAGGGGTCTATGGTGGGGTTATGACCCCCCTAAACCCCCATCCCCTACCTACGCCACTGAACCTAAAGTATGAAAAACTTTCCTTATCAGTGGTACTAGTGCTGATCTTATAATTAATAGAAAACACAGAGTGAGGTAAGGAAGCTGGCACCAAATTTTAAACTGCTAATAAAGAATAACAATCACTTTAAAAATACAAACATTTATTCCAGTAAAAATAAAAATTAATTATGATGAAGCCCAAGTATGACAAGAAAATTAAGTGAATAATTTGAAAAGTAAAAGCAAACAAGTACAAAATTTTGCCATTCTTTTCTTTATACAATTCTATTTAAAGCACAACATCAAAATGAAAGACAAAAAGGACATAGTTTAAACTAGTAGGTTAGTTTTTACTGTGTAAAGGTTAGAGTTAGTCATGGCAAGTTAAGTTTGGGGTAGGGCAGGGATAAAGTTTCAGGTACCCAATAGGGCTGACTGGACCTCCTACAGTCATGTCGGGTACTCATTAGAGCTGAGTGGCCTCAGTGAAGCCCTACACAATTATGCCTAGGATCCCTTTTCCTGTACAGCTGTATGCAAAGCCACATTAGTACAATACATTTTAAACAAAACCTTTTTAATTCATGGAAAACTATATGTAAAATTATGGTGTCACATTCTTGTCCAATAATAAAGTGGCAAAAAAAATATGAAATGAATACTATGTTTGGCAGCAAAAAATACATTGGAGCAAATATTCAGCAAATCACAATGCATACAAAACATTAATCAACTGATACTAACATAAAGGTAGGCATTACTAATAACAGACGCTACAGAAATTTCAATCTTTCCCATCAAAGAAAAATATGTCTTCCTAATTAAACAAATTAAAATGTAAATAGAAGTTATAAAATAAATTATTTTGGTGAAAACCTAAAGCAAAAATTTTGTAATGGAGAAGTCGTATTTTGTCATGTCAATTGTAAATATAATGAAGATTGGATGAGAAATTCAGAATATAAATGCTAGATTGTCCAGTGAACGATTGAAATGGTTGTGGTCAGAGTTTCTTCCAGTGTTTCTACCGCCCCCCCCCCCCCCCGGAACGAAATGGATTTATTATATAAAAATATATACTTTTACCAGTGTCCGCCCACCCGAAAATGTTGTCCGCCCCCCCCCCCCCCCCCCCCCCCGGAGAAAAAAGTCCTGAAGAAACACTGGTTGTGCTGAGAGTGTTAAGAGAAAAGGCTGGACACCACGTGATAAACCACCACAATCCACACCACGATACTGACCAGAAAGGTCGCCACGAAACCGGTTGTCCGGTTCAGGTACGACTTCCGGTAACCGAAGAAGAAAGCGACGCGTCCGAAGACGAAGAAGATTGCGAGGATGGGGATGTTCTTCATCTGGTGCTCCTGGAGGAACGTGGCCAGGATGAGCTGACCCACAAAACTGACAAGGAACTGCTCCACCGTGTTGGTCAGGTACCGCGAGTACACAGCCACGTGATGTTCACCGCCGCCGTTGATTGGGTCAATGGCGGTGGTGAATAACCGGGTCAAGGCCACGACTAGGATCCCGACGATCAAGGTCAGACAGGGGAACGTTTGAAACCGGAGCGTGTAGATGAGGCGGTCCAGTGTCTGGGGGAGGGACGGCACGGGGATTGGCACGTGGTAATACAGGACGTAGTACCCCAGGGACAGGCCGGCCACCGTCTTGATGGCGGCTGTAGCTATGGTCAGCCTCTCTTTGAATGTAGACCGGCCCGGGTCAGACTTCCTGAGGCTGGGTGGTTCTGAAGTTCTGGCTGCGTCCTGCAGTTTCGTCGCTCTTTGCATTTTTTAAATCAGCTCTGGCTGTAATAAAAGATCCAATAACTAGATTTAGGAACAACAACAACAAAAATGACAGTCAGAGACACAACAACATGATGATAAAAACATCACAAAAACATCACGACAACAACATCACGACAACAACATCACGACAACAACATCACGACAACCACGACACGGCAACAACATCACGGCAACAACATCACGACAAAAACACCACAACAACAACATTACGACAAATCACGACAACAACATCACCACGACAACAACATCACGACAATCACATCAAGACAACAACATCACGAAAACAACATCACGACAAAAACATCACAACAACACCACGACAACAACATCACGACCTCATCAAGACAACAACATCACAACAACAACATCACGACAACATCACGACAACATCATGACAACCACATCACGACAACCACAACACGATAACCACATCACGACAAAAACATCACGACAACAACATCACGACAATAACAACACCACAACAACCTCGTAGCACGCCAAAACCATCACCACATCCTTGCCACAACATCACAACTACAGCATCTTTTATCAGAAATCAGCAGTCATATAAACTCTATAAAAAACTGAAGTCGTATAATCTCTCAGAAAACATCAGTCATTTAATCAGAAAATATCAGTCATTTAATCAGAAAACTGGAGGAGGGGATAACGAGGACCAACATTCGCTGAATCAACCCGAGGGATCTTTCCTTTAATGGACCCTATCAAGCTACAGGGGTCGATGCCATGAATATGACATCAAGGGTGTTAGGGTCAAAGACAGGGTTCGTGTTTGTTGGGTTCTAGAATCTAGGGTATATATATATGTAGCGACAAACAAAGACAACTAACACTATATAAATATAATAATAACAATAAGATGTTTAATATAAATGTATACAGTAATAAGAATAATAAAAGAGCAAATGGAGTCTACAACATAAAATAACAAGATACTCAACGTCTCCCCGTCCACAGCCACAGCACAACTTCACATCCAGATCTCAACCCCACGTTCCACGTTCCACGTCCACAGCCACACTACAACTAACTGATTCACACACTGGCACACGCTCTGACACCCGTCACCTGACACACCTCACGTGAACACCTCTCGCTCCATGTAAACACACTCAACCAAGGGATACAACTATACACCAAAGGGAGGGTACCTGTCGTTCCAGCACACAACACACACACACACACAAGCAGGGGACATGTAAGGGACGTAACATCCCTCCCCTCCACCTTCAGATCTCTTTTTCTTCAAAAGAGATCAAACATCTCTTGTTCCATTAGCCACTGTTGGTGCCCGAGCTCGACTACTTATTCTTTAGTCCTTAGGAAGCCTCGTTTTGACCGTGTGGCGTGTATCCAGCCTGGACAGTTTGATCCAGAGTGTGGCTTGTATCCAGCCTGGACAGTTTGATCCAGAGTGTGGCTTGTATCCAGCCTGGACAGTTTGATCCAGTGTGTGGCGTGTATCCAGCCTGGACAGTTTGATCCAGAGTGTGGCGTGTATCCAGCTTGAACAATTCGGTCCTGAGAGTGGACTATGGTTTTTCTCCGGCCGGGCACCAAGCTCGTGGTCTGACTATCTCAACCTATAATGATACATGTGAGAAGCCACAATAAAAAAAATTAATCAGCATAATCATTCTATACTGCATCAGTAATACCTTTCTCAAACATTTCTCAATATAATCACATTATAATGCCCCAATAGTAAATTCCTTAACATAATCATACTATCTCCAACAATGATAAATTTCTCAATATCATATACACTAGTTGGCGTAAAACACTCTTGCTGGATTGTTTGCTACAAAGTTCTCAGTTCCCTTGATATGTTTCACAGTACAGGCTAATTCCTGTAGTGCAAGGGTCCATCGGCAGATGCGTACGTCGCCATAGATGGTCATCTTTCCTTAAAGGCGATCAAACTGAGTTCCTTTCTCGATAGCCGTTTTAACTACATTAATCATCTCCAGCCCGTAATCATCATACACAGCTTCTGCAAAAAAAAAAAAAAAAAAAAAAAAAACAAAGAAAAATTAACATTGATTGAATAAATTATCTTAACAAAAAAAACTTACCAAGGACACTACCTTTGTAAGGATACGCCTCCAAATTTCGTGCTTTACCTCGCTCTCATATGCGAGTCTTTAAGCCGGGAAAATTTTCCTAACATATCACGCTGAGCTGTGGGACACACCCGTGATATGTGACCAACACCACCGCAGCAATAACACTTGAGATCATCTGACCGTCGATGTACATTTTCAGTACGCCAGTTGCTCGCTCTACTGGTCCCGTTGGGACAGTTTCGTTGTATGTGGCCTGGCTTTCTACAGCTATAACAGGCGCCTGTATCTATATCCATACTGCACTCTTTGGCAATATGACCTTGTTCATTGCACTTGTAGCACCGATAAGGTCTTTTGTTGTTTCCATACTCCACAACAGCTCTTTTATCTGACCTATTTCTCCAAGTAAAGCCGCTATTACTATTGCTATGACAATCCCGGGCATAGTGTCCATAACGTCCACATGTGTAGCATTTACTGCTCAGACTGACCTTGCTGACACCATGCATCGGTTGTAAACCAGCTTGTCGTGCCTGTCGTTTACTTGATTCGCTCCTCTCTCGTCTGGAGGTATGACAGACTCCCGCTATATGGTCAACTCCCCCGCATGAGTAGCACTCAATTTCTTCCGTGGAAGGGCAAGTGTGGCGTCCTGGAGATCGCGGTGTCTTGTTTTGCCAGGGTATCCTCTCCGCTGAAGAACTTGCAGCGACGTACGGAGGGGTTTGGCTTACCGGCCTCGCCACTCTAGCGCTCTGAGTGCTCTTATAGTTGTCAATAACTTTAAGATTATCTTCCACACTTACCTTAGCAGCACCATTCAGCCTCTCCAACAGATCACAAGTAACAACCGATTTAATCCGATCAACTATCAGGAGGTTCACCAAGTCCTCAAACGTTTCCTCTATTCCCGACTGCTGGACCCACGCTCTCAAAGCGGCCTCTGTGTTGACTGCGAAGCTTCTCATGTCGTCGTGTGTTGGTACTAGCTGGTGGAATCTGACCCTATACTTTTCCTCGTTGAAACCTGCGTGCGTGAATAACCTTACCTTTACTGACTCGAAGTCATGATGCAAGTTCAGTCCCGTCTCAACGAGGAAAGTCTTCAGTTGTCCACTCATCTTGTCCGTCAGAAGGAGCGACCAGTCCTTGGGGTCAATGCCTTGTCTCTTTGCCTGACTCTCAAAATGCCTCACATACGCACCCAGGTCTTCGTCCACCGTCATCGCCGCCACGTCCCTCAAGCGGGGTACAGGGTTACATACCTTTGCTACAACCTCGACCTTCGCATCTTCCACCCTCCTCAACTCTTCCTTCACCCACTCCGCCAAACTGTCATCGGTCAGCCCAATTAGCTTTCCCTCCTCCTTCAAATCACTTATTAGCTGTCTTCTGGCACTCCTGGTAGTAGCCATGCTAAACGGACGAGCCCCCAAATGTTGGGTTCTAGAATCTAGGGTATATATATATGTAGCGACAAACAAAGACAACTAACACTATATAAATATAATAATAACAATAAGATGTTTAATATAAATGTATACAGTAATAAGAATAATAAAAGAGCAAATGGAGTCTACAACATAAAATAACAAGATACTCAACGTCTCCCCGTCCACAGCCACAGCACAACTTCACATCCAGATCTCAACCCCCACGTTCCACGTTCCACGTCCACAGCCACACTACAACTAACTGATTCACACACTGGCACACGCTCTGACACCCGTCACCTGACACACCTCACGTGAACACCTCTCGCTCCATGTAAACACACTCAACCAAGGGATACAACTATACACCAAAGGGAGGGTACCTGTCGTTCCAGCACACAACACACACACACACACAAGCAGGGGACATGTAAGGGACGTAACAGTGTTGACTCTAACTATCACATCAGTTAACCTATAAGGGGTCATCCATAAATGACGTCACGCTTTTGTTGACGATTTTTACCTCCCCCCTCCCCTCCGTCACACATCGTCACAAAAGCCAGACCCCACCCCCCTAAAATGACGTCACACCTCAGCCTACAACCCCCCTCAAAATTGCAGTTGAATTTTTTTTTAAACATCGATATTTTTTGAAAATCTTGTCTAAACTCTGTCAAAATTGAGTATTTTAATCAATTCGTATTACAGTTTATTAAAACAGTTTAAAAGGTCTAAAATTCGTTTTCTAACATTGCTTTTTTATAATGCAAACATGTGACGTCGCACCATCTGAACCCCGCCCCCCTCCCCCTCATCACACACGGTGAAAAAATTACGGCCCCCCCCCCTCTCCCTTACGAGTGTGACGTCATTTATCGATGACCCCTAACTAGAAATATCTTTACACTCAGTTTTTGAAAAAGGAAAGTCCATTAAAATAACGTTTATTAGTGTATTAAAAAAAGATTAAATTACTCCATAAATAGTGCTTTAGGATATATAAATGAGAAACACTTAGCAATATTTTGATGAAACTTGATCCTAATTGTGACATATGAAATATTGTACTCAGCGGTTCACATTTCAGCTGACTTTTTTACACGGATGTATTTTTGTACTGATGGCAACAGGTGACGTTACAACGTCGTGTCAATAAAGCGACGTAAAGAGGGATTACAATCTGATGTCATTCGGGCAGACGACGGGGATGGTAAAAAAAAACTATAATGTTATTTGATGCCTAAATTACACGAGTTTTTTTAAACACCGGAATGTGAGAGTGACAGAAATTCTGCCACAGCGCCGTAACCAAATTGTAGGTTCAAAGGTCATCGTTAATATGTAGGTAAGGCGAGGCTGTCGGTAAAAAGTAGGACAAGGATGTCGGTAAAATGTGGTCAAGGCTGACGGTAAAATTTAGGACAATGCTGTCTGTAAAATGTAGGTCGATGCTGTCGGTAAAATGTAG